AGTCACACGAGCCCCGCCCCGCGACAAGTCCTATGAATGCAGCCTCTCGGCCCCACTGCTGTTCACCAGCGGATGGGCCGGTACACCCAAAGAGCACGGATGGACTGGTACACCCACAGGCACGGAGACTCAACAGCGGATGGACCGGTACACCCGAACATACACACACACACACACACGCGCACAACCACGGCCCCCGATCTGAAAAGTAGGAAGTCCCAGCCCCCCGCGTTCAGCAGATTGGTGGCTCTGGGGGCAGTGGAGGCCTCCAATGGTCCTGGCAGGGATACCTGACGGAGGGATGTAATGAAGCAAATCTACTCGGGGAGGGAGGTGGATGGAGGGGAAGAGGGGGCAGGAGGGGGGAGGAGGGAGGGAGGGGGAGAGGGGGCGCCATGGGGGCGACACTGGCGGGTGGGAGCAAGGGGGAAATGCGAAAAACAACACAGACGACTGCGACGACGACGACCACGACGACGACGACGACGACGACGACGACGACGACGACGACGACGACCACGAAACCGACAGCGACGAAGACACCCCGCGAACCCCCAAACGACCAAAAAGATAGACGACAACGAGGAGCGACACCGACGACAATGAATTTCAACGAGCCCGTCCTGGGAGAGCTCAGTTGGTGGTGGGAAGGGGGAGCGACCGCATGAGTGACACCACGGTGGCACATGTGACACCGCGGCGGCACGGGTCGAATCCATCACCCGGGTGGTTGGGTTGCACAACGACGCCGCACGAGTTACACGGGAGCCTGACGGAACCGCGTGGCACGGACAACGCTGGGCGACACTTGGTGTACTGGTGAACTGGCGGGCCTATGATGCCATCATGTCACAGATCATGGTGTACTGACACTGACAGGCACAGTCAGCGGGCAGGGGATGAATCCCGTTCACGGCCCCATCGAGGAATATGAGGATTTGGTTGATTGGTTGATTGGTGTAAAAGGTGTAAGATTGTGGAGGTACATTTGGACCCCTCGGGGAGGGCGTCCGCCCCGGACTCGGAAGATACGATCTGCAGAGAGAATTCGTATCATAAAGCAGCTGGCGGCGAAGCCACATCATGGCACCCCAGGAACGTACAGCGGCAGGAATGCACCACTGGAGTGCTAGAGCGAGAAGTGGTGACGTGAACTTTTAAGGGTTCACAGGGGCCGAAGTCAAAAGAGCCCCGCCCCGCGACAAGTCTTACTAATGCAGCCTCTCGTCCCACTGCCGTGGAGGAAGATGATGATGAGGAGGATACAAAACAGGATGCAATGATAATGATGATGATGCGGAGGAGGAGGAGGAATATGGAAAAGCAGAGGCATATTGAGGAGGAGGAGGAGGAGGAGAAGAAGGAGGAGGAGGAGGAGTTGGAGGGGGAGGATCATTAGTCATGAAGACGACGAGGAGGAGTAGGAGGAGGGGGAGTAGGAAGCAGAGGAGGAGGAGGATGACAATAAGGACGGGGAATCATCTTTCTCATAAGACCCCGCGAGCTGTCCTACTATCTACCAGAAGCGCCCCCCTTGAAAGACGAACACCTGCCATGAGCTTCGAGGATGTCCCGAGCGATAACCTCATTATTCTGTAAAGGAGCCGTACTGCATCCGCGCAGCTGTTATATATATATATATATATATATATATGTTCAAGTGCCTGGTCTTTCCATCGAAGGACGTCTCAGGCGAAAGCCCCATTGTGAAAAGGAATCGTGCTCATTCGTTTAACTGTCGTTCAGGACGAATGTGCGCGGCGCTAAGACGAGAGTCCCATTTTGAAAAGAAACCGCGCTCCTTCCTCGAATCGGTTGCAGACTTTTAAGACGAATGTGCGCGGCGCTAGGGTGACAGCCGCATTGACAAGGCGACCCCGCAACCATCAGTGACTCTGTTGCGCACTTTTCAAACGAACGTGCGCGGTGCTGGAGCGAGAGCTCCATTTTGACTACGACACCCTCCATCTCTGAAGCATTTCCAATTTCCAATCTTCAGGATCGTGAGTGACGAAACTCCTTGCCCGCCCTACTGACACGTCTGGGGGTGAGACAGGGTGGAGTTCTTTTTAAGGGAACGGGACGGAGGAGGACGACGACGAGGAGAAGGAGGAGGAGGAGGAGGAGGAGGAGGAGGAGGAAACCGACGATGAGGATGAGGAGGAGGATGAGGAGGAGGAGGAGGAGGAAAAGGGGAAGGACGAGGAGGAGTAGGAGGAGGAGGAGGAAGAAGACGACGAGGGGGAGGAGGAGGGAGGGGGAGGCGGGGGAGGAAGAGGAGGAGGGGTATTAGGAGGAGGAGGAGGAGGAGGAGGAGGAGGAGGAGGAGGAGGAGGAGGAGGAAGAGGACCAGTGTAAGCCCAAAACGCATCACCGATGTTGCAATCAACCCTCCTTCAAAGTTCCCTTTTGATTGGTCTGTGCAATAATGTATTTTCACTGCGGGAAGTGCCCCGTTGGAAGACTTGAGATCGTGCCGAGACGCCATTCCTTGGATTTTAACGCCCCGAATCAACATTATTGTTGCGTCCTGACGGTCCTGAATCGTGCCAGAGCACCATTCGTGGGAATCCAACACCGCGAATCACTGTGACTGTTGCGCCCTGACAAATCCAAATCGTGTCAGCACACCGTTCCAGAGACGTGAACCATCATCATCTTTGACACCGACATAAAGTTTAAACAAGTGTGCGCGGCGCCACGGTGATCGTTTCCCGTTCGGCGCGGGCCCTCGCATCCCCCCCTCTCCCCCCCTGGAGTAGATCTTGGCAAGTTTTTGGCGCCCGTTGCAAACAGTCGCATTGAGCAGAGGTCCGAAGCCAGATCCGACCGCGCTCGGCCAGGAGCAGCTCGAGGCGGAGCAGCTCCGACGCGAGGCGCGAGAGGCGCACGAGGCGGAGCTGAAGACGCGCTCGGCGCGCGAGGACCACGAGAGGTGCTGGGCGCACGAGGCCAGGGAGGCGAGGGAGGCGGAGGCGGAGGCGGGCGGGCAGCTCAGGCGCGAGGCGCGCGAGGCGCGCGAGGCGCGCGAGGCGGTGGCGGAGGCCAGAGGGGGATCCAAAGATGAGCTTCTGCTGCGTCCGATGTGTCCCGTCGTCGCGTTTCGGCTCGGGATGTTCAGTCCAGCCATGCGGCGTGCTTCCTTGCCACGTTGGTCTTTTACCTGCCGCCTGGGGGCTGCCGATGCTGGCTTCGGGCGCCAGCAGCCTCGCGCAGCTTGTGGAATCAGCAGTGGAGGTGATATCTCCTCGCCGTCAGGGGTGGGCCGACTCCATATCCACCGCAATATTCGGGTGCTGTGCATGCTGGCTGCACGCGCCGCGCCGCGCGGTAGCGCGGCTCGCACCCCCGCCTCGGCTACGCACCGAAGCGGACGAGCTTTGGCGACGGCGGCCAGGGCATCTGTCCCAGTCAGGCGGCGCAGAGGAAGGGCACAGCGTGTCGAGCTGGGGGCGGGCCACCGCCCGTGCCCTCGGCTCCCGCGGCCCGACAGGGCCGGTGGCAGGGCGAGCCAGGCGTCGACCGAGAGTGGCCCCCGTGGCTGGCTGCAGTGCGCTGCTGCAGGCCAGGCTCCAGCAAAGAGCGGTGGACGGAGTGGGACGCGTTTCTTTGGCACGCGCTGGCCGTCCAGACCGTTACGGGGTGTGCCCAGTGAGGCTTAGCATGTGGTTTCACATTCGCCCGGCCGTGCTGATCATCTGCAGTGGTCCGCTTCCCCCCTCCCTGAAAAAAAAAGAGCGGTGGACGGAGTGGGTCCTGCATGCGGCTCATGCCTGCCGCTTGTCGCCTGGGGCAGCAGCTCGTGTGCACGCGCCGCGCGTCTCGCGGGCGCTGGGAGGCTCTGCCGGTCCGGCGGCGGGCGGCTCCAGTGCCTCGCGGCTGCCCCTCGACGACCAGGTGCTCATAGCGATGGTCGCGGCCACGCTGGCATGGGGCCGGGGCTGGCCGGCGTGGTCATCTGGGCCCTGGCCAGCTCGCAGCTGCTGCGCGAGCACCTGCGGTTCCACATCGATGGCGGCCGCTGGTGCGCGACGGCGCGCGATCCTGGGCAGCGCGCCTCTGTGCAGTACGAGCGGGGGTTGGGCCGGCCGGCTGGCGGCAGGCACTCTGCGCGGTGGGCAGGCTGCGGCCGCAGGGAGCTCCTCGTGGCGGGAGTCCCAGGAGCAAGACGTTTATATGGCAGTGGCACCTTCCAGGCTTTCCAGGACTTCCTGTGGTGCCGCGCGGGCTCCATAGACCAGGGCCGCCAGATACTGAGCCACCCGTGCCACTGGATCTCATCCTCGTCCTTGCGAGGGCCACGAGCGCGGAGCGCGCTGCTCCGTGAGCTCGTGCGGGCCCGAGCGGTCGACCGGCCGTGCTGCACTCCTGCCTCCCTCCCGCCCTGCCCAGTGAGACGGCGGCCCGCGTGTCTGGACGCGCAGGCCTGCTCCGCAGCAGGTTGCAGGGGCCTCGGGAGTTCGCCAGGCGCCTCGAGGTGCTTGCGGTCTGGCGTGGCAGCCCTTGCACTGCTCGCCCTCCCTGCCAGCGATCCGCGGCCTTTGCATGCAGCTTGCCGCGCTAGCTCCTAGCGTAGTCCCGCCGACGGCTGTGTCCGTCCTCCCAGGCACGCTCGCGTTCGTATGCCTTGCATCTCGGCTCCGCCAGAGCCGTGGCCCTATGCATCCTTGCAGGAGTGCGCAGGGCGTGCTCAAGCGCGAAGCTTCGTAGTGAATTCTTGCTGACTCCACCCACCAGTTGCATCATCCAGTCAGCGCAGGGGACGGTACGGTAGGGGATACCCTTTCCCGCCCTCCTCGTTCTCCTCCTCTTAGCCTTGTCCCCAGGCCCTCCTCCTCCTCCTCCTCTTCTTCCTTCCACCCCCCTTCCCTCATGATGTCTACCTTAGTCCTTCTCTTCCTGCTCCTCCTCCTTTCCTCCTTTCCTCCCCTTCTCCGTCCCTCCTCTCCTCCGTCCCTGCCCCAGCTGCCCCACCCCCTCCCCGCACCGCGGCGTGGCAGGAGCGGCTCGAGGTCGAGCAGCTCCGGCGCGAGGCACGGCAGGCGCGCGAGGCGGAGGCGGAGGCGCAGGCGCAGCTCCGGCGCCAGGTGGGCGAGGCGCGCGAGGCGCACCAGGCGCGCGAGGCACGGGCGGCGCTCGAGGCAGAGGCTCGCGAGGCGCACGCGGCGGAGGCGGCTGGGCAGCCGAGGCGCGAGGCGCGCGAGGCGCGCGAGGCGCGCGGGGCGCGCGATGCCGAGGCGGAGGCGGTTGCGCAGCTCCGGCGCGAGGCGCGGGAGGCGCGCGAGGCGGTGGCGGAGGCCCGCGGCCGGGGGGGCGGGCGGGGGTTGAGGTGGACCAGCGCCCTCCCGGCCTCCCTCCGGTCTCGCGGCTCCGACCATCCTGCCTCTCGTGGGCCGTCTCCCGTCTCCCGCTCTCTGCCTCATCCTCCTCCTCCTCCTCCTCCTCCTCCTCCTCCTCCTCCTCCTCCTCCTCCTCCTCCTCCTCCCCCCCCTCCCCTGGGACCTGAAATCCGAATATAGAGGCGGCGGGGGGGCGGGAGGGGGGTCCTCCCCTCTTCCCTCCTCGCCTCCTGGCCTCCCCTGGTGGCGCCGCTCTCCCTGCCTGTCATGGCCCCGTCGCCCGCCCGATGCTCGCTGCGTCACTGACCACGGGAGCGCCCCTCCCGAAGGTTTCCGCAGGCTGTCTGGGAGCCGTGCTGCAGTTCAGCATGCAGACGCACACGTGATTTTTGGAAGCCCCACGAAGTGCAGGAAAGGGATGTGGGAGGTGATGATGGAGGGCGCCTGCGGAAAGTGCAAGCCATGCCAGACAGCACAGAGCTATTCTCGGGCACCGCCATTTGTGGTGGGACACGGCAGCGGTTGTGAGGTCACGATGGTGCGTCCAGCAGCCAAGTGTGGAGATAAAGCGAAGCGCCCAAGCCGTCTGCGAGATTCGGCTCGCCCAGAGCTTCCTTATGGACTCGAGGTCAGTCGACCTGGCACTTCGTACCCTATACGTCATACCCTATACATCACTTCGCATGTGTCCTCTCAGCCCATCTTTGTTTTCCCGTGAACTATACCCAACCTTCAAACTTCAAGCAAGCAAGCCATGCATCATGAAGACGCGTAGGCAGAGAAATGACAAAAAAGTTATGGTGGTACGCCAAACGCGTCCCGGAAGCAGTCCGCCAAACGCGCTGCGAAGACGATGGTGTGACGCAACGGCCTGCTTTCATGCGTGAAGAAGCCTCATCGCGTACACTTCGTGTGCCCACTGCTGTCTTGGGCGGCCTCTGCGCCGGCGAAGAGCCCAGTCCTTCCGGGTACCGTCTGCTTCGCATACGAGCTGCTTCACCAGGGAATGGCCTGGCTGCGCAGCGATTTTTCGGTACAGGCTGACTTGCTTGTCGTGTAATATCTGCGATAATGGTTTGGAGCCTGCCCTCTCCAACACTGTTGCGCTATAAATGTGTTCAAACTTCAGCATTTCTAACGCAACAGTGTTCAAACTTCAGCATCATTAATATTACCGAAGGCTTGAAGCTACTCCAGACCAGACTTGGCCGGATCTGGGCACAGTCATTTTCCTGGCCTAATCATATCATGCGGCTGACACGATCGCACTAACATTTCAAGTAATAGCATGCGGACCACGCGCGCGCTGAACGGGCACTATCTGTATCGGAGAATACAATGCGTTGCACCTGCGTTGATATCACAAGTGTTTATTGTAAGGATGCTTGTCAACTGGTAGCGCGAACTACACGCGCGCTGAAACAGCACATTGTACACTTACTTCGATAACGCAGTTTCGAAGCAGTGTGTGTCTAGCGATCGATGTTGTTTTATGTATATTGCGCAATATTTGTGGTGCAAACTATGTGACACACTTTGTTATGCTATGCAATACATGTGGAGCAATCTACGTGCAGAGATATATGTGGTGCAATCGATGTGGTGCAGTCTATGTTGTGCAAGCCGTGTTGTGCAATCTACGTGGGTAAATCTACGTGGTGCAATCCACGTGGTGTAATCTACGTGGTGCAATCTACGCGGTACAGTTGATGTAGTGCAGTATAGATGGAGCAATCCATGTGGTGCAATCTCTGTTGTGCAATCTGCGTTGCGCAATCTACATGGTTTAATCTACGTGACGTGAAATACGTGGAGCAATCTATCTGGTGCAATATATGTATTTGTATATATGTATATGTATTGTGCAAGCTACGTCGTGCGCCGTACAGGATGCACACGCTTGTGATGCAATCTATGTTCTGAAACCTATGTTGTGAACTCTTTGTTGTGCAATCTATGTGGTGCACTTTGTTTTCATCAACAAGTTGTCACACTCCATGCTTTTGCAAACATCCCACCCAGAATTTACCACCATCGCAGCGTTGCTGGGGCTCCTCGAGGCCGCGCCTCCGTGTGCCAGCACGGGAGCGTATCCTCGTCTCTGCCCGACGCCTGTGGCCGTTTGGGCTCCGGCGTTCGGCTGTTTTTGAACAACCCGCCCGCCACCCTGGGGCATGAAGTTCCTGGGAGTGGCAGGGGCCACGCGCCAGGACCCCCGGAGTCGCAGCCAACAGCCAGCGTGACATGCGCGGTACGTTGCTCCTGTCCAGCAGAATGCTGCCCTGGAGCGCTGAGTTTCAGTGCGCAAGCCGGATAATATCAGGGCGTTTCCCCCATTTTCGTGTGCAATCAGAGAGATACAACATGCCAGCCACATCGTTCTCATATGGCATCGTGCGACATGGTTGTGAGCTGGAGTAGGGTTCGTTCTGACGCGCGCGTACCAGACAGCATGTATTTTTTACACCACCCGCAACGCCAATGCCAAGTGGAAATGGCGGCGCACGCTGTACAATATGCGCCCCTCACGACAAACCGCAGCGATTACTGCACAGTGCACTTCGCGATTCCCCCCTTAACACGATGGTCTTCGGCCCATCCCGCCACCCTGGCTGGGTTGTGCGTAAAAGGCCTGTTGGGTTCCTCTCGGGGCCTTTCTGGATGCCTCTCGGGGGCCTGCTGGAAACCTCTTGAGGATCTCTTGGGGGCCTCTTGGGGGCCTCTTGGCGATTTCGGGGGCCATCGGCTATCTTGGAGTAACAGAGCTCCCATGCTTTTCGCTTTCCCCTCTCGTAGGTGGAAGTTTTCGTGAGTTGGGGAGTCTGTACCCCTTGAGCTGTATTCGATATGTAAAATGAGTATCATTCAACATTCAAGAACGAGCAGGCTGCGGCACGTCACGACACCGTGCCAGCGCAGTTCTGTGCGTGGCGACGTTTCGAACACCGAAGGCAGTTTTCATGAGGGGGCTATCTGGGCCGTCGTGCGGCTGACTTGGGCGGCCCTGTTAGGGCACTCGTCCGTCTGGTTAGTCATTCGGGGCTATCGTGAGGGTTTCCTGGGCCCCTTCGGACAACCTCGGGGCTCTCTCAGGCCATCCTGGGCCACGCGTGGGCTGTCGTGGGGCCCTATTGGGGCTGTCCTGGGCTTCCGGAGGCCCTCGTTGGGCTCTTTTGGTCATCGTTGGCTCCCCCGATGCCCTCTTGGAAGCATCTTGGGCCGGCAGGCCCAAGAAACGCGGAATATGCAACCACCCAGACAGAGGTGCAGGTTTCGAGGATCCTGCCTGGCCCCCCTCTCTTTACACTGCCATGGGCGCGCTTTGCGTACAAGACGTGTCACTCCGATTGTGAGCTAAAGGGGCTCCCAGAAAGTTTACTATACAGCACGTGGCATTCTAAGACGCCTTGGAGTGCAGTGGGGTCACGGTGGCGGATTGAGGGCTTCAAGGGGCCAGAGGACCACCCTCCTAGTGCCTAGAGGCATTGTGGTGGGCTGGGGGAGCCTGGCATTTCCCACCCCTGACCCTGTTCGACCCGACCCGACCCGCCCCCGTCCTTCCTCTTGGTCATCATAAGGGGGGGGGGCTCTTGAAGCCCCTCCCGCCCCGTGAAGCCTCCCAGGAAACCTCCGAGCCCGCCCGAGGGGCCACCCCGGAAGGCCCGCCCCTGCTCCCCCCCCCCCTCGCCCAAGCTGCCCTCTCCTGCCCCTTCCGAGCTGCCCCCTCCCGCTGCCCCCCCTCTGCGTGTTCGGGGGGAGAATTGCGGCATTTTTTTGGTGCAAGTTTTTTTTTTCTTTTTTTTGTTGGGGGGGGGGGGGGGCGTTGTGCGGTCCCGGAGGAGCGCGCCTCGGCCAAATGCCAGCGCTGGCTTGCATGCATCATGATGGCGGCAATGAGCTCACCTTGCTGCCCGTCGTCATTGCGGTTTCTCTTGTGTGCCCTCATGTCTGGGCCTTGCGAAACGAGGGTAGCGGCACCTCTGTCTTCGTCCCTGGCCTCTGGAGGCCGCTTCTCGGCCCTGGGTCCGTCCACGAGAAAGACCCCGAGATCCCGAGGGGCCGACGCATTTGAAAAATGCAGCGTCGGAGGCGATGGCAGGTGCATATCCGAAGAGGGAGGACCTCGCCAAAGAGGTGGGTCCTGGGGTGCTACTTTAACCCATTCATCCTCGATGGCGGTGGCGTTGTTGGGGATGGCGGGTGCTTGCCCCAAGCTCGCTTGGCCCGACAATGGTTTCAGGTCAGTGACGTTGCTTCGGCTCGGGCTGGATTATGCCGAGCCCGCCCGTGGCGTCGCCGGCTGAGCGTCCTCGGGATTGGGATGTGGCAGCAGTGCGCGTCCTCGCCTTCGGGTGCTCTACCACCTCGAAGGGAACCAGGTGCGGCCCCCTCCTTTCCAGCCCAAACCAACCTCGGGCACATGAAACCCAGACGCCCGACGTCATTTTTTTTTTTTTTGTTTTTTTTTTTTTTTTTTTGTTGTGTGTTTTTTTTTGTTGTTTTTTTGTTTTTTGTTGTTTTTGTTTTTTGTTTTTCTCATCACGCCGACCCCCAGAGGTCTGGACCCCTTCCCCCGGGACCGATTTTTCGTCCTGAGCCGTCTTTTGACAGTCCCGGGGCCCAGCGAGGGCTCCCAGAGGCCGAAAACAGCGACGCACCTCCCGTCATGATTTTTTCATGTCCCGAGGGGGTCTGGGAAACCACCTCGCCGCCCCCCGCCTGGCAGGCGCGGCTCGAGGCCGACCGCCTCCAGCGCGAGGCGCGAGGACAGCTCGAGGCCCGCGCGGCGCGCGAGGCGCAGCACACGGCCCGGGCGCGCGGCGCGTCCGAGGCTGGGGAGGCGCCCGAGGCTGGCGCTGCGGCGCGCGAGGCGCGCGAGGCGGAGGCCGAGGCGGAGGGGCCGCTCGGGCGCGAGGCGCGCGCGACGCGCGAGGCGGCGTGGGAGGCGGCTCCCCTGGTCCTCGTCGCCGTTGCCCTCCTCCTCCGCCGCCCCTCCCGGCCCGCTCCGCCTCGTGCGGACCTCCCCTGGGGCTGGCGAGGGGGCTCTCCTGCCTCAAGGGCTGGCTCCTCTGGGCCCGGCGAGGGGGCTCTCCTGCCTCTCCTCCTCCTCCTCCTCCTCCTCCTCCTCCTCCTCCTCCTCCTCCTCCTCCTATCCTTATTCCTTATTCGAATATACTCCTACTCCCCCCTCAGGCCGGCAGATAGGGGCCCCATCCGGGTGGTCCCATCCTAACATGTAAAAAGCAATACAACATCAACATTTCTCTTATTTTTTCCTCTCGACATGGACGTCCTGTCGTCGACGGCGATAATCCATTGCAAAAAATATAACAAAGAGCACACGCGCGCGTTCATGTCATAATCCTACCGAACACCGTGTGTTTGCAAGCATTTCAACATAAAAACATAAAAAACAATGTTTTTTTTTTTCACAAAAATTCTACAAATTTCCTGCCCGGGCTCTCTTGCTGAAATCATAGGAAAACCATAGGAATCTTAAGAATTCTGTCAAATCCAGCGATTTCACGTCATCGCGCGGTGCACTCGCGATGCTCTGTCATGCACCCAGGCCGCGAATCCTGTGCAAAAAATACCACGCGGGCGAATTGCGCGCGCGTCGCCGCGAGCGCATGCTCAAATCCTTCTAGAGTCGTCGCCGTCATTGGCACCGTCGCATGGACGTCCTGTCGTCCACGTCGCAAAATGCATGGCAGGAATGGGACCCGGCTTACCGGGCCGTTCTCGACACGGCCACCTCTGGCTTCCTGCGGTGTACCGGGCCATTCTCGACTCGTCTGGCAATGCGTGCGCGGCATTCAACACGCGCTCGCCAGTTCCCGTCGGCAACCGCCATCGCGGCCGCATCAGCTGTACCAAACCGGCTGGCCGGTGTGACTTCGGCCCCCAGTTGTGCCAGCTTTGCTTCTTATGTTGTGGGAGGGCGGGTGGGACTGGGCATGCCATGCTTGACTCGCTCGAGCTGGCTAGCTTGACTCCTACTCCTACTCCTACTCCTACTCCTACTCCTACTCCTCCACACCTCCTCCCCTCCTATCCTCCTCCTCCTCCTCCTCTCCTCCTCCTCCTCTCCTCCTCCTCCTCCTCCTCCTCCTCCCCTCCTCCTCCTCCATACTCCTCCTCCTCCTCTCCTCCTCCTCCTCCTCCTCCTCCTCCTCCTCCTCCTCCTCCTCCTCCTCCCTCCTCCTCCTCCTCCTCCTCCTCCTCCTCCATACCTCCTCCTCCCCTCCTCCTCCTCCTCCTCCTCCTCCTCCTCCTCCTCCTCCATACCTCCTCCTCCTCCTCCTCCTCCTCCTCCTCCTCGTCCTCCTGTCTCAGGGAAGCTCACCCCGAAGGGCGTCACGCTCTAAGGGCGCTCTGGCCGTTCGCGGCCCTCTCCCCCCCGTGCCTTCCCGGCCTTCGTCGCCGCCTGTGTGCCTGATCCGTGCATCGGCCACGCGCAGAGGGGGGTTATGGGGGAGGGGTGGAGGCTTCTTAGAAGCATCCCAGCGCGGGCCTTGTCTGTAGATGAAAGGCCGGCGCCTTCTAAGAAGCAGCCTCCTTCTAAGAAGCCTTCCCCCCTCCCCCTACCCCCTTGTGCGCGCCGCCAAGTGCAGCAGCAACCCTACCGCAGCTTGACCCCAGCTTGGACCCACGGTGCCGCAAATCCCAAGCAAGATTCTTGAGCTTACGCCACACGGCCGACCCCTTGGAGAACTGGCGGTTGTGGTGTGTTGCTCCTGAGGGCCTCTTGGGCGCCTCTTCGGAGCTTCTTTGTGTCCTCTGGGGCGCCTCCTGGGGGCCTCATAATGGGGGGGGCCTCGTGGAGCTTCGTGGAGGCTTCTTGGGGGCCTTGGGGGGCCGAGGGGTCGAAATGCGGATCCAGGACAAGATTCCAGGGCACCCTTTCTGCCAGGTTCGGGGGTGGACAAAACCCCTAACAGTGACACGTCGATTAGTGAATTGTCCGTTTTCGGTTCTCGAGAGGGCGCCGTGGCCGTTATTTCCCAGGCTTGCGCCCGCCAGGCCTGGGCCTCAGGTCGTTTTCACTAAGCCACGTTTTACTAAAGGGGGAGTCTGTCCATCCCCGACAGGTGGGCCCGCGGGATGGCAGGGGGGAGGAGGGCCGCTCGGACGAGTCAGCGGGCCCCGCTGGCTCCAGCCCAGGCGATCGCAAGCATGGACTCAGTGGGTGTGGATTAGCGACGGGTTCCGTTTCCTTGGGAGATCGCGGATTTCCGCCGCCGAGCGAGGCGGCACCGCCACCGAGCTCGGGCGGGCGGGTGGGGGTGGCGCCTTGGGAGGGGGGGGAGAGGGGGAGGGCTGCGCTCGGGCGGGGGGGAGCGCCTTGGGAGGGGAGGGAAAAGGGGAGGGGCCACGGACCCCCCTTAGCTGCCTCGACACGTCCGTTTGGAGACGCACCACGTACCGTGCTTAAAACGTCCGTGTCAATACGCTGCGTGTTGCTCAGCGCATTGGCCCACTTTTTTGCGAGCGTATCGCGTCGTACCCACGCGTTCACTCTACGCGTTGAGCTCCGTCTCGATACGCTACGTGTCGCGCGTTGCGCACCAGGGCAGCTGAGTCCCCCCCTTCCCCCGGCCCTGTACGTTGGACCACCTCCTGCCTGGAAGGCCAGAGGCAACGCAGGGACCTGGTCGTGCAAGTGAGCGCATCTTGGGCTGGATGGCTCGGTGGGCTCCCGCTTGCCCGCTCCAGCCCTCCTCGCCCATGCGCCGCACGAGCAGCAGCGCTGCCACGAGCGTGGATCTCGGGCCCGGCGCGCGCTCCCGCCCGGCGAGCGGCAGGAGGGCGCTCGCGCGCGCACGCGCGGCCCCGCGGGGCCGCACGACCCGGCGAGGGAACGACGGGCCGCACGCGGGCGGCAGCGGAAGTCTCGGCACGCCCCCGCTCGACGCTCCGCCGAGAGCATCCTGCAGCTATCTCGAGCGCGGCCGGGCTGCCCGTGGGGCCTGGCGAGGGCAGCGCGTTGACCGCGCCAGGACGTGAGCGCCACTTTCAGGCGAAGTCTGCGTGTCTCTTACTCAACAGCGACATGTCGCCCTTTCCTGCCATGCAGTTCGAGGCGTCAACAGCAAAACGCCCATGTTGGAAGCAAGACGTCGACTTTGTATGTCTTGTATGTGTTGTACGATCCTGGCGCTTCGGGTTGCTATGGGGGCGAACGCGTGGGGGAGCGTGAATAACCATCAGTGGAGGAGGAGGAGGAGGAGGAGGAGGAGGAGGAGGAGGAGGAGGAGGAGGAGGAGGAGGAGGTAGGATTGGGGGGTCACGAACCGCTTCCCAGACTCCATCCCGCAGGGGTGGGGACATGCCCCCCCCGCTGCGCGCAGCAGGATGCCATCGGAGGCCCCGTTCCTGCGCGCCGCTCGCTGGCGACGTCGTCGCTCCCTCCCAACGGCTCGGGCTGCTCAGAAGGGTCCCTGGTCCAGAGGGGTTCCCGTTCTTGACTCGAGCAGTCCAGATGGGGTTCCCAGAGCGGCTGGCCAGGGGCCGTAGGCCTGCCCAGAGGGGGCTCCAGGTTCTCTTCCTCCTTGTTCCTCGAGGTCCGCCTCCTGGCCAGAGTGAAGAAGTTAAGCCTAGAGCGAACTCTAGGTGAAACGTCCATATGGTTTCAGCTCTGACGCAAGCAACAAGTCGAACGAGAAAAACACCGCAGATCGCCGTGCCCCCCTTACCATGTACCGTTCCGCGCGTCCCGCGCCGCTTGCCGCCGGCCCTTCGCCCTACCCATACACCCCAGCACCCCCCAGTCCTTTCTCCTCCTCGCTTCCCTTTACATTTTCCCCCAGGTGCCCCTTGCGCACACATCCCCCTTGCACCCTACCTTCCTATCTCCTGTCCCCCATACGCGCTATCCTTTACCCGCTATCCCCCATCGTCTACCCCGCAGTACCCTCCGCTACCCCCTGCCCAGCAGGCGGGCTCGACGTGGACCAGCTCAGCGCGCGAGGCGCGCGAGGCGCGCGAGGCGCGCGAGGCGCGCGAGCGCGCGAGGGCGCGATGTCAGCAAGGCGGCGGCGGAGGCCCAGGGGACCCCCCCAAAAAAGAGAGGCCCGCATTCCCTTTCTCCAGCCTCCTCCGAATGATGATGATGATGATGATGATGATGATGATGATGATGATGATGATGATGATGATGATGATGATGGATGATGATGATGATGATGATGATGGATGATGATGATGATGATGATGATGATGATGATGATGATGCTGATGATGATGGATGATGATGATGATGATGATGATGATGATGATGATGATGATGATGATGATGATGATTGATGATGATGATGATGATGATGATGATGATGATGATGATGATGATGATGATGATGATGATGATGATGATGATGATGATGATGATGATGATGATGATGATGATGAGCACAGCGGATCTGAAAATAGTGTGGAGTGAGCGCGATCGCGCTCAAGTACTCTGGGCTCAAGCGCGCCCGCTTGAGGGGCCTAGGGGTGCCTCCTCCACGGAGGCCTCGACCCACTCCGATGCGACTGGGGCGGGGGCCAGGATGGCTTCCCAGGAGCTGCCCTTCTACGACCTCGCCTTGCTCGAGTCACATTTCCAGAAGACCATGGCCTTCCGTCCCCGTGTGATCAAGCAGAATTGTGGGGCCGTGGGCTGAAGGCAGGCAAGCACTGCGACAGCTACGGCGAGCGCACCTGCGCCGACGACGAGGTGCTGGACCTCATGGGGGCCAACGACATCCCCTCCGAGGAGCACGCCGTCGCTGAGTTCGTCTCTACGTCAACGGCCGCACGGCCAGGTTCGGGAAGTGGACCTCCAAGGGCACCGGCACGTACCTGGAGGGCGGCATGGAGGCCGGCAGCATGCTGGTGAACCAGCGCTTCTGCCCGCGCACTGTGGGAGGGGAGCTCCGCCACAGCATGGTCGCGGACGTGCTCGTGGGCATCGCCCGCGAGAAGCCTCAGGCGGGCGCACCTGGACCCCTTTCGGTACGGGCTCCATCTGCACCTCCCGCGGGCCCGGGGACCCAGAGTTCGCGAGCCCGCCGTCCGTGGTGCTGGCGCTGGGCCTGGCCTCGGAGCCGATCCGCCCCGGCTTCCTTCTGGCCTCGCGGGAGGGGAGCCCGGCGTCGGCGGCGAAGGGGATCGCGGACGGGTTCGGCTGCTCCTGCGCAGGCCTGCCCGAGTGCCTCCCGGGCTGCTGCGCCGAGGGCGCGCCGAGCGCCTGCCTCGCCGACGTCCCGACGAAGGAGGACCTCGTCGGGGCGGATGAGCACGGCAACCTGTTGGGTATCAGGGCGCTGAAAATCGGCGGCCGGGAGCTCTACACCGCGTCTCGCCGGTGCAAGGTGTTTCGCGGGACGGACAGGGAAGGCGACCACGCTCCTGACGGCTTCCTTCCACCGCGGCCTGTTCTTCGTCCTCTTCTTCGTGCTGAACCTCTTCGCTTAAGTTGGGCCTGTCCCTCTACACGGGGAATCTTCAAAAATAGTCAAAAGATAGTCTGGTGATTATTTTTCAAAGTATTTTTGAGAATCTTGGAGTATTTTTGGAATACTTTTTATTTTTCATCGAATATCCCCTTGTAGGGGACACGCCCGACTTAAGCCCAGCATCGAGCTGCCCGTCCGCACGAACCAGATTCTCCTGCAGATCCCGGCACAGCTCCGGCTCATTCACCCTGTCGTCACCTGCCTCGTGGGTGGCATGCTTTCCTTCGGCGCGGTGTTCACAGAGTTGTTCTTCATCATGTCGTCCATGTGGCAGCACCAGTTTTACTCCTTCTTCGGGCTCTTCGCGCTGAGGTGGAGTTTGGAGTTGCATCCGGAAGAGGACAAGGGCCCGGCAACAAAAATGAAGGGATCCAGTTGATCAGAGAGATCGAGTGGGACCAGGGCGGATAGTGGCATCCTGCATGTCAAAGATATGGAGGAATACTGCTGAACGGACTGAGCCTAGACAGCAACAAGAACAAGTCCAGTGCAACTGGAGAGAGATTACCACTTAAGGAAGATGGTGGGGAATCTCTGTCACGAGCAGGCACGCGAGCATATCGAGTTCCCGTTGCGAGAGCCAATTTCTTGGAACAGAACCGATCAGACATTCAATGCGCGGTGAAGGAGTTCAGGCGCGCGACCAAACCCGCAGCAGGGGCATGAGCAAATCTGTGGTGATTGGGCAAGGTACATGACCAACGCATAACTCATGCAGTTACTCATACGAATGCCAGACTTAATTAAGCACGGGAGTTAGTGGTGTGGAGTGGTACCGATTGCGCGGGATGTAAGGAATTCGGGACAGCCCTTAGTGGAACCGTCTCCATGTGGTGAGTACCGCCTTATCACTTGCGAGGCTGAGTGCGGCGGGATGTTCTGGTTTTAACGGGCGAGTTGACGCGTCCCACGCCCTTGCAGACATCCCACCCACCCACCCGCAGTCTGGTTTGCAAAGCCCATGCGGTGGCGATTGCGAAGCATGCTTGGCCTTGGCTGGTGCGTCTCTGCTGCCGCGCCAACCCAGGCACGCGCGCGCAGGCCAGCTTGTTTGGCGCGACCGACGCGGCCGCGGTGGCGCTGGCCACCGGGCGCATCCCAGCGGGCGTTTTATTGCGAGTCGTCGACTTGTGCGGGCGGTATCGCGGCAACGTTGACGCACAGATCGTCATCGAGAGCGACGCCGCAGCGGGCATTGCGATCGCCGGCTGGAGAGGCCATGGGGAAGTTAGGCATATTGAAGTACGCCAGCTGTGGCTGCAGGAGAAGGTGAGGAGAGGGGGCGGCCGAGTGGGAAGGGTGTCCGCCGGGGATGGTCTCGCTGATCCTCATTAGAGGCCGAGGCTATCGCATTTGAGACCGCATTGAGTCAGCTGCATCACGCAGTTCTGTCGGGGCAGTAGAACCAACAGCCTAGGGGCGTAGGCCCTGCGAGCAGAAGTTGCATGCGGCCCAAATTGCGCGGCCCGAGGTCATCGCGAGCCACCGATGCGCCCTTTCCCTTCATCCGATTGCCAGCGGCGGTTATATAGTTACTGGCCCTTGGCGAGCGGCTGCGGCGGTCTTGCCGATCCTGCCCCGGCGTCGGCTGGGCCCTGCCCGTCGTCGAACTCGTCAGAATTCCAGCAAACCGCTGGAGGTGAGAGGTTACCCATCAACGGCTACGCCCCAGAAGTCGCTGGATTTAAGCAGTTCTGGCGGATGGGCGACCAGGCGAAGGTCCTGACGTGCTTTGCCAGCCTCTGCAACGGCGTCGACGTGACTGTTGCCGGCTACCTCCGGCGGCTCAACCAGGAACGTCAGCGATTACATGGCGCTAGTATAGGCGCGGAGACCCTGGCGGCGCTAGTATAGGCGCTCATCTGGCCCAGGGCGGCGGACGAGGAGGCGCATCAGGTTTGACGCCGTAAGGTGGCCAGGGATCTGTCGGCCATTGTGGCGCTGCCTCGACGGGCGGGCGCCGCCGTTGCCCAGTTGCCCGAACTTGCGCATCGCAGCGCCGAAACGAGCGATAGTTGCGTTGCGAGCAATGACCCCTGCGCACGATCCCTTTCGCATGAGGTGCTGGGCGGCGCTGGCATTCTTATGCCGCTAGACGGAGTCGGGGCGTGCGAAGCCCCCGCCGAAGGAGATCGGGGCCCCCTCCATTAGCTGTCGCAAGTCTGCCGTCGTAGGCCGCGTCCAGAGAGGCTATGGCGCGATCCGCGTTAGAGACGTCCCCCAAATCGTCGGCGTCATGGCGCGTCGGCGGGCCTGCGCCCAAGCCAGAGCCGAAGGGCGAGCGCGCGCGTGGCCGGTCCGTTAACGAGATCTCGAGCGAGCATCAGCCTCGCTCCCGTAGTCGGCCGCCCAGTGAGGCTAAGAGAACTGGCCGCAGGCAGTGGCCGCAACAGATGGGCAGTTAAACCGCCATCTGGGATAGCTCGGCCGCCGGCGGGCCCCGCGGGGCCAGAGGTGTCAGCCTGTCATCGTGCCCGCATTGTTGTCGCGCCAGAGGCCCGTGTTTTGTGCTCGAGCGGCTACAGGGTGAGATTATGGAGTGTTTGACCATCGCTTTGTTGCAATTCCAGCCATCCTCAAATGTCCCGCGCAGGCGGTGCGTGACGTTTGGAGGAACAGTTGCCGTGAATGAATAAACGACTCTGTCGAGCGGGAGTTGCAGGATGCAGCTGGCCAGGTTATCCACGGCGGCGGCGCC